GATATTAAGCCCCTTCCGTCGATTACCCGCCAGCGGCAGCTGGCGGTTTATTCTGATGACCGCAGGGTCTTAATGGGCGATGCTGCGTCGACGAGAGTCCGTGGTGCCAAGCTGCAGCCTTGCCCCGAATCGGCCCAACCTTCGATCGGACTCGCATCCAGAGAGGCCGAGCAGGAGCGGGCTCGCCACGAGGGGCAGGCCATGGGAGCGACCGCCGTGCGGCCTCGACGACGCCCTTCGCACCAGTCCCAGGGCGCGATCTGACCGGAAGCTCGGGGCTGACCCAGCCGTGGCCAGCAGGGCATCCCCATACAGTGGAGGCCCGTGCCAAGACACCCTGCTTGCCTCCAGGGGGCCCTGGGTTTGTTGGGTTTCGATGGTTTTGCGATGGGGAGCGCGACTTTCTCACACCAGAAATCCATGGACGTCTTGGGGTCTCAGGGTTGGATTTCTTGTGGAAGGTTTCTTGTGGACTGGCTTCCACTGTATGCGCGCGACCTGTCGGAGTGCCTCGGATTTCTGGGATCTGCGCTGGACCCCCTGCGCCTACGCGGCGTCCCCCGGGGCGGGGCCGCCGCAGAGCCAAGAAGTCCGCGCGGACCTCCGGGGGCGTGTGCGCACGCCGCCGTGTCCTCGGCAGCGTCCCAACATACTGGTACTATGTGTGCGTCGCCCCCCCAGGGGCGACGCGCGCACCGACAAATCTTATAACGAATGCATCGTGGCGGGCGCTTTCTGGCCGTACCGCGCGGGCAACGATGGACGAAGAGGAGGGGTACACTATATGTTCGGGTCGGCCGCGCGCCTCCGAGGACATGACGTGTAGTATAAGTGCGTCTCTGTGCGTCCCATGTTCTTCGGCAAGGGCGCCAAAACACACGCGCACACACACGCACGCACACGCACACGCACACGCTCACGCACACGCACACACCCACACGCACACGCACACGCACACGCACACGCACACGCACACACCCACACGCACACGCACACGCACACGCACACGCACACGCACACGCACACGCACACGCACACGCACACGCACACGCACACGCAAACACACACACGCACGCACGCACGCACGCACGCACGCACGCACGCACGCACGCACGCACGCACGCACACACACACACACACACACACACACACACACACACACACACACACACACACACACACACACACACACACCGTGCGCCGCGCCCCCCCCCATGGCGACCCCCTGGAAGGTTGGCCTGCGCCTGGAGGAGGCGCCCGGGGGCCCCCTGGCGGAGGCGAGGCCCGCGGCGACGGCGGCGCGGGGCCGCCCAAGAGCTCGGGTCGGCGCCCTCGTGCTCCCCCCTCGGAGGAGGGAGGAGGAGGAGGAGGAGGAGGAGGAGGAGGAGGAGGAGGAGGAGGAGGAGGAGGAGAGAGGAGGAGGAGGAGGACGGAGGGGAGGAGGCGGAGAGGAGGAGGAAGACGAGGAGGAGGAAGAGGAGGAGGGGGAGGAGGAGGAGGAGGGGGAGGAGGAGGGGGAGGAGGAGGGGAGGAGGAGGAGGAGGAGGGGAGGAGGAGGAGGAGGAGGAGGAGTCAGGAAGGTTTGGGAAGAGGGGGGAGCGGGAAGGTCCCGACGCAGGTGGAGCAGCAGCGCCCAGACTCAGGGGAGGGAAAGGTACACATACCGCGACCCCTCCCCTCGGTTTCCCTTTATGGGCTTCCTGGAAAGCCCTCGTCGCCACCGCTGGATTCGCCTCGAAGTGTTGGTCAGAGCGCACCCGGGGAGAGGTCTCGGGAGTGTCGGTATCGGTACCTCTTTTAGGTTTCCCCAAGAGCTCGTGTCGAAGCCCTCGTGCCCCCCTGGGCTCGGTTATGGAGAGAACTCCCATCCAGACCAGTCGACCAGGGAAATTTCAACGGGTTCACTCGGCGCTGCAGGGTCCAAGGGCGCCTTCGAGGGCGCGAAGTTATTCGCGCTTCTCGCTTCGCGGTTCGGCTCCGATTCCTCAATCCTTTTTTCCTCCCCTGGGTGGCGGCGCGAGAGCGCGAAGTTATTCGCTTTTCGCGCAGCGCGAAGCGCGAAGTTGGGAGCCCTTGGGGTCCATCCCGATCCGATCGATCCGATGTGATCTCGATGCTGGCCTGCCCGATCTGACTCGGTTCCCGTGTTCCGACGATTCCCAGTGTGGCCAGCCGCTGTGCATGGTGCCGTTGTGCATCCCGGCGCGGCCGATCCGACTCGGTTCCGATCCCGCTCGGTGGCGGCAGAGACGGGGGTGATGACGAGGGGGAGGTGGATCTCATGGCGGGGGCCATGATATGTCCCCAGATTTTATGGCGGCTTCTCTTTGCTTCATTACGTCCCTGGCCCCCCCCCCCCCGCTGGGCCGCGCACATGCCGCCGGTCATGATTTGCACCCCCCCCTCTTGGACACCCCCCTCTTGGCCGCTCCCGATCCGTGCCGATGCGGCCCGATTCGATACACATTGCGATCCGATCAGGTGTTCCGACTCGTTGTTGGCTGCTCTCGCATTGTCATCCGAGCGTGCTGGCGCAGGCCCCAGTCGGTTCCGCGGATCGTCCGTGTGATTCGCTGGAGGCATTCGACTGTTTTCACCGTCGGGGTGCACTCGGAATTCGACGTCGTTCGCACATGAAGTTCCCCTGGCAGATTTCACTAAAGGGCGGTTTGCTAAAAGGGTGTCCCGTCCAACCCCGAAGGACGGGACAGTTGGTGATTGCACATCGGTCGTTGAAATTTTGCCATGGCCTTGCATTGTTGTTCAGGCGTGGTGCGTTCGCCCAGTTGTGGGCGCCAGGACCCTCCCATATTGATCTGCATGGCTCGAGAACAATGACGCAACAAGATAGGGTTCAGGGCTCCAGTCGTGATATATGCTGGCGATTCTGCAACTTTCTCGAAACGTCGAGTCGCAGGGAAGTAGGTTTTTGTTCGGGGATTCCCAGATTCCAGTCTACACTAGGCGCTCCCCCTGCTCCGAGGGCCAAGCAGTGCTCCCTCTCCCCTTTCTCTTCAGGGGGCGAGCGGGCGTCCAATCTCTTGCCAGCTCCTTCCTACTTCATGCCTCTATCCACGTCTCCGACCGCTGGGTACTTCTATATACATATACATATAATATGGCCTCGTGATCAGGAGATGCCCAGCACAGGGATAGGGATATGTTCCAGGCTGGTAAATTCGCGTCGGACGACGGTGGGGGATTGGGCCCTGACCTTCCAGGGGGGTCGACAAAACAGCACCAGAACCTGGACATCCAAATCCCTGTCGAGATTCTTTAGGCGGTCCAGACAGATCTACAGGTCTGGAGAGCTAGTGGCTAGCACGCTGGAAGGTCACGGGGATTGGGCCCTGACCTTCCAGGGGGGTCGACAAAACAGCACCAGAACTTGGACATCCAAATCCCTGTCGAGATTTTTAGAGCAGTCCAGACAGGTCTGCAGGTCTGGAGAGCTCGTCGTGTTGTTGGCACGCCGGAGGGATACTGGGCGAGGGGGGGGGGGAGGCGGAAGCTGCTGCGTGCGGCTGGCTTCGGCCCCGCCGCCGGGCGCTCCTCCCCGATGCCATGTGCGGGGAAACGTACGCCTATGTCGGGCGTGTCCCCCCTACAGGGGGACTTTCGATGAGAAATAAAACGTACCTCCAAGATGCACCAAGAAGGGCAAACAATACTCAAAAAGTAGTCCCCATACTATTTTTGCATGATTGTTTGATTATGTTTTGGGTACTTATCATTTTTCGTCGAAAATCCCCCTGTAGGGGGACAGGCCCGACTTAACGTACGCAAGGCTCGAGCAAGCCGGAGCTCGGGCTTGCCGACGTTGTCTGACGAGCGCGTCCCGGATTGTGACGGTCCGGTTGTCGTGGGAGATTTGCAGCGGGGGGTCGCGTCACATTCCAGATTGGGCCTCGTCATCTTCGGGATGGCCCCGTGAGGCCAACCCGAGTCCCTCGTGCCCAAGTCTTCCGTCTCCCCGACATGTGTGCGCCTCCCGCGTCGCAGGAGGACACTGGAAGACCAGCCGCGTGAGCTGAACTCCTCCTTCACCGCCCCCCTTTCGTCCGCCCCGGTCCAAGCAGAGCTGCGCGGAGTATAATTAGGTTCGTCTCGTGTCGACGCGGCGGCGGCCGCAGCAGGCTCCATTTCGATCCGACGGATCCGATTCGATGTTGTTTCTGGCCTGCGCCACGATTCGATGTTCGTTATTGATCGGTTTGCTTTCGATCTTCCGACGATCCAGTGCGGGCCGGATGTTCGGAAGTCGTTGCTGTGCATCTTGGCGCAGATCCGCTTCGATGCCTATTCCGTGCCGATGCGGCCCGAGTCCATGCACATTTGAAAGAGCGTGTTCTACCGCTGCTGGCGGAAAACCAGGGGGGGTCACTACCGGTTCGAACCCCTCCCCCCCCCCCCCCGGAAAACCGGGGGGGGTCACTACCGGTTCGAACCCCTCCCCCCCCCCCCCTGTCATCATGAAAAGGAGGGGGGGGTCACTACCGGTTCGAACCCCCCCCCCCCCCCTCCGGATCCGGAAAACCGGGGGGGGTCACTACCGGTTCGAACCCCCCCCCCCCTCGAAAACCGAGTGGGGGTGCGGACAGTGGTGGGGACGGTGTTGGTGGGGACAGTGGTGAGGGGATAGCGGGACAGTGGTGGGGACAGTGGGACAGTGGGACAGTGGTGGGGACGGTAGTGGTGGGGACAGTGGTGGGGACAATGGTGGGAACAGGGGGGGACAGTGGACAGTGGTGGTGACGGTGGTGGTGGGGACAGTGGTGTGGGGACAATGGGAATGAGGTGGAAACAGTGGGACAGTGGAGGGTACAATGGTGGTGGGGACAGTGGTGAAGGCGGTGGCGAGGACGGCGGTGGGACAATGGGACAGAGGTACAGTGGGGACAGTGGTGGGGACAGTGGGGACAGTGGTGGGAACAGTGGGACAGCTCAGTGGGACAGCGGAGGAGTCAGTGGGACAGTGGGGACAGTGGGGATAGTCGGGCAGTGGTTGGGGCCGTGGAGACAGTGGGGAGAGTGGAACCGTGGTGGGAACAGTTCTGGGGACAGCGGGGACAGTGCGACAGTGGTGGGGCCACTGGTGGGGACAGTAGGGGCGGTGGTGGAACCAGTGGGGACAGCGGTGGTGAGGACAGTGGTGCTGGGAACACCAGTGGGGGATGTGATGCGGACGGTGGTGGGGACCGGGAGTCGTTTGCTGGCGGTGAGTAGGGGGGGGGGGGGGGGGGGGGGGTTCGAACCGGTAGTGGCCCCCCCGTTTTCCGGATCCGGAGGGGGGGGGGGGGGGGGAACCGGTAGTGACCCCCCCGGTTTTCGAGCGGGAGGGAGGGGGGGGGGAGGGGAGGGGTTAGGGGAGGGGGGGGTTTTTGCCGGGGGAGGGGGGGGGGGGGGGGGAGGGGTTCCACCAGGGGGGGGGGGATTTTCGGAGGGGGGGGGGGGGGCGACCCCCGGGCTCCAGAGGAAAAGGTTGGCAATTTTCCATAGTAAAGCGGCGGTGGATCACGCTCTCTCGCACATTTGGATCCAATCCGATTTCCCGATTCGATGCTGTCTGACCCTGCCCCAGCGCGGAGCGACGCCAGTAGACCAGAATCGGCCGATATCGAACGACCCTGGGCGATCGGAAAGCCAGTATCCTGGAAGGGTGAAAGGTTCATACGGTGTCAGAAACCATCGCACAAGTCTCCACGGCCAGACATGTTCCATAGGAAGGACTGTCGAAGAGACTGTCGAACGGTGGCCCGCTCACACACTTGTCGGATTCGACTCCTCTTCTGCTGATGCCTTCTCCTCTTGCTCAGCCTCCTATTTTCTTTCATCTTCCTCTGGCTGCCAGGGAGTAGCGTGAAGAATATCGGCTCCCAATCATCTCCCATGTTCGTTCGTCGGCCGCGTGCCCAGCGGCAAATCCGATTACACCTGAACCCGGCAGGTGCGTTGGATCTTAAACGATTGCTCTCATTTTCCAATTGGCGAGCCTGCACAGTGAAAACCATGTCAGGGAGCAGCAACCCGCCAAAACGTGGCCTTGCATCCTTGCCTCTTCGGCCCATCCTTAGTCATCGGAGTACCGATCGAGAAGAGTCGGCTTGGACATCCGAGGGTATCTTGCGTCCTGACCGGTGCACCCTCACCACAGACCACAGCTGTTCACCCGCAGTTCAGCTTTCGGAGCACGCGCTCCGCCTTTGTGGCCCTCTGGCCGCAGACGAGCCCCACACGAGGTGGGGCAGAGCCTGCAGCTGACTGGCCTGCAGCTGGCGGAGTGGCGGCTGCACAGGACGCCCCAGGGGGGGAGGGGGGAGCCGAGGAGGAGCGACGCGATACCCATCGCCCTCGCTCGACGCTAGACCCATCCCCCTCCCTTCCGGTGCTGCCTCCGCCTCCGCCTCGTCGTCGTCCTGCTGGTGCTGCTCCTCCTCTTCCTTCACCCTCCTCCCCGTCCCGCCCCCCCCCCCCCCTCCCCCTCCCCTGCCGTCTCCTCCTCCCATCTCCCGCGGGGTCTATCCTTGCCCTCCTGCCTCCCCCTCCTCCGGGCAACGACAGGGGAATACCAGGACTACCGCCAAGACAACAGTCTCATAAATAGTTGGGGCCCGCTCTCTGAGCTCCACGGGGGAGGCGACGACATGGACGAGCGCCACGACGAAGAGCCCCCACGCCAGCCGGAGGCCTGGAATGCGTTCGCCACATGTCATGTACCTCCGCACTCCAAATATGGAATGAATCGAAACACGTGCGTGCAGGACTCCGCTAAATACCTCACTGCTGCTTGCAACCATCGACAGGCGGGGCAGCAGATGGAGCAGGCATCGGCGCTGCTCTGACCACTGCAGCCGTGGTCTCGCCGAGATTGCGGCACAACGGGGCGAGGTCGGTGCTCCGGGAAGTGTCAGAAGTAGCAGGCCGAGAAACACGAAGTAGCCCACGAGGATTCCCTAGAGCATCGACGTCTTGCAAAAGCCCATCCCGCTCGGCTGCCCAGGATCCGCGTCGGCCCTGGGATCCGCGCCCGAGGGGTCTTGTTGATCAGCGCCCCTGCCGCGGGCGGCCTCGGCGTCGAGGCGCGGACGGCGGCGAAGAAAAGGCTGCCCCTCGTCCAGGCGCCGATCCACTGCTCAAAAGCCGACCACCCGCAGGTCGAGCTCCCCAAGCGGCACGAAGCATTCCGCGTCGGACCTGAACTCGAAGTGTTTCTTCACCGTGCGCCGAGGCGTCCCCGTCCCGCGCGGGGCGCCGGCTGCAGGCCCAGCGCACGACGCGAGAGCCAGCGCGCCACAGGTGCACCTCGTGCCAGGCGCCTTGGTCCCACTCGGCAGCGCAGCGGCATGCTCCTTGGGCTCGGCCGCCTGCTCCACCACCTCCAGCGCCTGCACGACGGGGACGAGATCCTGCTCCTGCTCTTCGGTGCCCACAGGCTCCGCCACCAGCGGCTCGTGACGTGCCCCGTCGGCCGCCTTCTTGATGCCGCGCCGGTGCGCCGAGGTCTCGGGGTGAACGTCGAGGAGCTGTTCAACAGAGCGTATCGCGTCCCCTAGCCTGTGAGAATGCGCCCCCAGGCCCGCATCCAGCTGCGCATGAACCAGTAGTGCCGCCCCGAGCGACCGTAGCCGTTGGGCGACCTCATCGTGAAGTTTGGGAGGTGGAGATAGGGCGTCGATGGCCTGCTGCGCGCACACACCGGCCGTGCGAGAATGCTGTAGCAGCTTGACCTTGGCCTTCAGCTGCTCCACGTCGGAACGGGCCACGGCGACGCCACGATCCGCAGCGGCGCGGGCCCGTCGCTGCGCAGCCGAGCGCTGCGCCCTCGAACGACGTAGACAAACACTGGGATCACCAGAGGTCGACCCCTCCCGCGCCATCCCAAGCCTCATCAAGACCCTGCAGCGCCACACTCTGGACCGGCCATGCGCGGGCGAAATGGCGACCAGGGGGCTTGAGGCTGGCTTGAGCCAAAATGGCTACGAACGGCCAACGATAGGGGGGATCGGCACATGGCGGGATGCGTCGACCCCATGTCGTCCATGCATCGCCGATGGGAGCCCGATAGCCCGAACTTGCCCTGGAAAGTGCTGATTCATGATCGGGGGCCTATCGCCGATCTGTCGGTGATGTATCGCCGATTCCAGGTCGATGTTTCCCCCCCTTGCCAGTCTTCCCCGAATGCTGCCCCTCATCATCTCTCGGAAATGGTCCTCACCCCTCTGGTTCTACTCTCTTCTGTTTTCCCTCCCCCTCGTTCTCCCAGATCCCCGACGTCGTGATTTGATATGCCGTCGGCCCCACGAGGGCTCGACCCATTCCCCCGGATCGGTTTTCCGCATCCTGAGTTGTTTTTGTGGACGCTCGCGAGGCCCGGGAAGGGCCCCCCGGACGCAGAAAACAATCATATATATATATATATGTATATACATATATATATATATATATATAGAAAGGCATGATGCCAGAATCTCTTCACGACCCGAGGGTGTCTCGGGGACCCCCCCCTCTTCCTCCTCCCGAAGAAGGAAACACCACATGAGCATATGCATTTTGGTGCTCCGCACGGGTTTCCTGGATCCGCGCCTGGGCCCCACCGCGGCGCCTCCGGCGCCGCCGCTGGCGCGCTCCGCGCGCCAGGGAGGAGACCCAGCGCTAATCCAAGAAATCCGCGCGGAGCGCCAAAAGTTTGTTTTTGTTTTTGTTTTCTATCCCCGGGCACCCTTCGTGGTTCCTTCACGCGCCCCATCCCGTCTGCCACTCCTGCAGATGGCGGGGCCAGCTCTTTGGGTTCAGTGGCTCCCCAGGATCGGCGACATGCTCAAAGCCGGCATGCCGGCGACGGGAACGGGTCTGCAAATGAGATATTTGGACGAAGGGTTTGTTTTATCGCGGATAAGACATCTTGTGTGTGGCCCCCCGCAGTGTTGCAGGTAAGAGTGAGAGGGCGGCGGGGTCGTCGGCAGCTCGCGAGGCTGTGAAGAAGCTCGCCGCAGGCGCCGATTTTTCACAACCTAGACAACGAGCCCGCCGCAGGCGCCGAGTTAGTTCGTCAGGGGAAGTGGGATGAGACAAATTGTGTCTGCACATCGCCTTTCGAAGGTCCGTGCTGATCTCGTGGGTCGTCGCTGGACCCCCCGTGCGGTACCTCGAGCACCGCACCCGGCGCGCTTTCGGGGGATGGGTGCAGTGCCGAGCCAAGAAATCCGCGCGCACCTCCCGAAGTTTAGGCTCATGCAGTTTCTCCTCATGCTGTTTCAGTGAATGCGGGTCTTGAACATGTGTTTCACGATTCGCAGGGGGGGTAGGATGAGCGAGAAGGATGAGAAGTTGGGAGAGCGAGGGACGGGAGAGGGTAGGAGGCAGGAAGGGGTGAGGGAGGAAGGATGAGGGGCGGAGGAAGTTGGGAGGGGAGGGAAGCGAGGAAGGAAGAGGCCTGGTGGATGCGAGAAAGGACAAGGAGGAGGTGTGGGGTGGGAGTTGTTCGCCCACAGTCGAAGACGCCCACGGCGAGCCGCCGCGGGCCCCCCTGCTTTCTGGAAGCGCCCTCTGTGACCAATCGGTGGGCCGCAGCGTTGCTGAGCTGTTGAACCGGATGCCCCCCCCAGCTGTCGTGGAGGCCATTTGGGGGACACTCCTGGAACGAGCCCGGGTGCTCCAGGGCCTGGTGCAGGAGGAGGAGGAGGAGGAGGAGGAGGAGGAGGAGGAGGAGGAGAAGGAGGAGGAGGAGGAGGAGGAGGGAGGAGGGAGGAGGTGGATGGAGGATGAGGGGGGAGGAAGGGAGGAGAGGAGGAGGAGGGAGGAGGAGGAGGAGGAGGAGGAGGAGGAGGAGGAGGAGGAGGAGGAGGAGGAGGACGAGGAGGACGAGGAGGAGAGGAGGGACAGCGAGGAGACGAAGGAGGAGGAGGAGGAGGAGGAGGAGGAGGAGGGAGGAGGAGGGGGGAGGAGGGAGGAGGTGGAGGAGGAGGAGGGAGGAGGGAGGGAGGGGAGGAGGGGAGGAGGGAGGTGGGAGGAGGAGGAGGGAGGAGAGAGGAGGGAGGAGGAGGAGGAGGAGGAGGAGAGGAGGAGGACGAGGATGAGGACGAGGACGAGGACGAGGACGAGGACGAGGACGAGGACGAGGACGACGAGGACGACGAGGACGACGAGGACGACGAGGACGACGAGGACGACGAGGAGGAGGAGGGGGGAGGAGGGAGGAGGGAGGAGGGAGGAGGGAGGAGGGAGGAAGGAGGAGGAGGGAGGCGGGAGGAGGGAGGAGGGAGGAGGGAGGAGGAGGAGGGAGGAGAAGGGAGCATGGCGGAGGGAGGGAGGAAACAAACTTCAGCTGTTACAGGGCCGATCCCATTCGCATGCAAGGGAGAGGGGGGCAGGACAAAAGAGAGGAGCGACCCCAGCACGCTGGGGTCGTGGGCAGGGGCTCTCAAGGCCCGTGGCCGCTACTGGCGCCTTCGCCGCTTCTCTCGCGTCGCGGGCAGCCTGGTCCAACACGGCCGCCGCCTCCCACAGATGCCCGACACATTGTAGGTCTCGCTCCACATTTAGCCCCTCTGGGGCCACGCGACTCCCCGGGAACCTGGGCTGAGGGAGGGGCAGGAGGCACTTCAGTCGGGCGACTACACAAAGGGTATGGTTACGCCGGGGTGTGTCATGCGATCGGCACCGTTGGGGCCGGGGGGGACGACGCTGTCTTCGTCGGGCCTCTTCGGGGCGCGGGAGAACTCTATCGAGCTCCTCCGTGCGCCCCCCAGGGGGGCCCCCAGGATGTTCCCTAGGGTGCCGGTTGCGAACCACACCCTCTGCAAACCACACCCTTTGGAGTCTCCGATCAGTGGGGGCCAGGGCCCTGGACCAGTCCTGACGGACGCTGAACGAGGGGGGGCATGCTGTGACAACGCTGCCATCCTTACATCTCTTGAAGCCCCAACTCACGAATCGCGAGATCTTCGCCGTCCCTGGCATTGTGGCCGGGGGCTTCAGGTAGCAGGACCACCCCGTAGAGCCCACACGAGAGGTCCCCGTTGTAGTGCACAGCGCCTACAGACCACCTTGCAATTCGAGGCCTAGGGCAATTCATCTCGAATCTCGGCCCGTTCGTGAGAACCGCCCACACTTTCATAAGCGCGACCTCGTCGTCGACGGGCCAGCCGACCGATTGGGCGTACATTCGCTTGGGATCATGGTGGGGTCGTTCAACTTTTTGGCTCGGGTCTGGGAATAGGGCCCTTGCCAAACAAGTTTCCTGTTGCCCGACGTGTTTCGGAGGCCCCCCATGCGTCAAAGGCCGAGCAACCAATTTTTCTGTGATGCAACGTACCACTGGCTCCCCCACAACTTGCATGTCGGGCCGATGTCTCCAGCGTGTGGTGTCAAGCGCGATTGAGTCCAGTAGATGTTCGGCACTACGGCAACGTTTGCCCGCGATGACTGCCACGTCTCCGACGAGGGATGGCTGGGGAGGGACTGGATGGGGTGCCAGAGCTTGTTTCCTTTCCAAGCCTGGAAATCCGACTGCCTCTCTCGCTCGTCTGCGACGATATATTTCCGGATTCCCTCTCTGGTTTTTGTAGCAAAGATCTATGGAGGCAATGTCTAGATTGACCATTCGCGCCCTAGCCGTCACCCCGAATTCTGACTTGAACATCGGATCTGACCATAGGCGCCTCGATCGCCCACCAGAGCTTCGAGTTGAAAACCGAATCTCCAGTCTATCCTTGCCAGGGCATGCGTGCGAGCTGCGGTCGGGTGTTTCATTCTGGGACGAGGGCTACGTGCACTCAGAGCTTCTAGATCGTCCAGGAAGCTGGCTTCGATCACCTCGAGACCTGCCGATCCCAGACGACGCGTAGAAAGTCCTTGACCGCGCGGGCCGTCGCGACCTAGCGGGCACCCTTCCTGGTTAGGAACGCGTCCAGCAGAAACTCCTTAGCTCAGAAGAACACCCTGGATGGAGAGGACCTGCAGCCTTGGTGGCCCTGGCCCTGCGCTTCCTGAAGCTCGCGCCCGCAGCCCCGTTGACTGTGGCCACCCTGGTCGCCTCGGCTAGCGGCCCAGTCCTGAACGCCTTGCGCAGATGCTGCCAGCCCCGTTCTTCGACGCGCGAGTTTGCCGCCCATTCACTGCGTCGGAGGTCCCCCGGAGCACCGCGGGGGGCCGCGGCCCACCCCGCCTGTCGAGTCCCCATCCTAGATCCCAGTGAGCGCTGACGTGTTCCCAGTCGGGTTCTTGCGGGAGATGTTTCTGGGCCTTTTTGTTGGAGGTCGTAAGTGCGTTGCCTTGTCCAATTTGATGGGGGACTGGGCGATGGCCGTGCACCTGGCCACCTTGATGCGGTCCTGGACGGAGTGCCTGGCCCCCGCGACACGCGACGCGAGGTCATCCGTGGGGTCGATGCTGCTGCGCGGGCGAGTCTAATCAGCAATGTCTCCGACCGCAGCCGCCATGAGGCCCCCCGCCCCGCGCATCGCGGGCGTCTATATAGAACGCAGAGCGCCCGCAGTAAGCCCAAGTCGACAGAGTAGTCCGCCGCCATCATTCGCAAATGCTCATGCGAGGCATTCTCGCAAACAGTTGGCAATGACATAGTTCGTAGTAACCGATGCGAGGCCCTTGGTCCGCGCGAAACGCATGGGCGCGTCGCGCGCGCTGCCAGCTCGATGGGCTGTCGCGCCTCAATCTTTGCCCCGGAACGAGAATCGCCTTGTTTTCCATGTTCGAACCGCCCGCCGGTGGCCCCTGCTCCGCACGCGCGCCAGCGCGCGCGCCATGCCGATCGGGCGCGGGCCCCCCGTCGGTTTCGGCAAGACAGCGCCGGCGATGGACGGGGGCGGCGATGTTGATGGCCCCCCGCCCCAGCCGCTCAAATCGGCATCTTTTCAAAGGCTCTCGGGCGGAACGAGTCCCACCCGAGCGTTGTTTTTCCTGGGCATGGCTGGCTGGCCCCCAGGCAATCACCCACACCGGTTGGCGGAAGGGCCCGCTCTGCTTCTCACGTTACGGAATGTGGGTCTTGTTGCTGAGCATCTGCGATGCATGGACCAGTTCCAGTTCGCCTGCGTCTGGCCTGCTGGCTCGCCGCCAGTCACTGGTCGTCCTTTGTGAAGCTCTGGAGCGTCTTCCTGAAGTCGAGGTTTGGCTACTGCGCATGCAATGTTGCGGTTGTCGCCCAGCGCCATGGTGCAACCTGCTCTCTTGGTCGCCGCGCCCTCTTTCGACCTCGCTTCGAGCTCTAGGTCTATCAATTCTCCAGGCTAACGGTAGTGGCGGGGTTTGTTTGATTCTGCCCATGCCCAGCCATCTGCCCGCAGCCTTGGCGCCCATGATCCCCCCCCCCGCCCTCCCCCTTCCAACCCCTGACCCCCCCCAGCAAAAAAGGGTTTAGCAGCTTCCTGTCCCAGAGCTCAGCCAATCCAACGACCTCAGAGCGCGTCCCTTGCCGCTCTGCTGGCCCCGCGACCACCCGCAACGCGCCCCGAGCAACTTCGCCAGGAATCCCCCGGCGTTCGGAGCGCGCTGCCAGCGCCCCCAATTTGTCGAGCATGGCCGCCGCCCTCCAGTCGGGGCCCTAAACCCTGCCGCGGGAACCCCGCTGCCTCCCGGGGGGGCGTCGAACATGCGACGCGCCTGCTTCTCTGCGCAGCCATGGCACTGCCTGCTCTGGTCATCGCCGCGGGCAGGGCATTGCCGAGAAATGCTTTGGCGGGCCCCCCCTTTTCTGCTGCGGGGTCTTCTGGGGGAAAGCCTTGGGCTCCAATGGTTCATGCTCGTGCGACGTGTGCCAGAAGCCCGTAAAGCTTGTTTCCGTTTGGCGCGGGACGAGCGGCGCGCCTTCTTTCGCT